GCACGTGTCTTACTTTCCTGGTGAAGCACGTACAGCTCGTCGTGAATGATTGAAATGCAAAGCCTACAGTCAAGGGTTATCAGAAAAGAAGAGTATCGTGGCCAACCATTTTGTCTCCACGCAACCTCAGGAGAAGAAGACAGTGCAAGCAGAGGATGTAGAGCGGCAAAATAACTTCTGACCACGTGTTTTCAGGATTTCCGCAAATAGGAGGGATCTCGATCTGAGATCGTCTATCAGAAACTGGCCTCACATGAGCTGTTTCAGATGAAGACATTTTTCACAGAGTGGACACAGTGACAGCTTGTCTGCATGCAGGAATACCACTTCCCATGATAAGCTTCCAGCATCCAAATGATCACCAGCAATAATGGTTTCACCTCTCATTACATGGATAATCAAGGAAAAAGACTTAATACACACAGTATTCAGGCACAGCCCTGCATCAAAGTTGCAATGGAGAGCAGCCTATGGAGGCAAGATCATGTCTTATAGTGCTAAGAAGTGGTGGAGCTCGTGAGAGATATTATAGCAGCTTCAGAGGCAGATCGGCTAAATGCATCCTTTCCTGGAAGTTTGGTAATGTGCAGCCTTTCTTCCATTTTTGTTCAAAACCAAGAGCATGATAGCCCTTGTTGAAGCATTATGATCAGCATTACAGGGTAGGTTTTGTAGCATTATGATTAGCATTATAGGAACATTTTCGGAGCATTATCCGCTGGACCCTACACGTTACCTTACTTCCCTTCATCGAATTAGCTGACAATCAGGCAGCACGGATGCCGTCTCCCCAGATTATTCCCTGGATCCTACAAGGGATGAAGATATTTGTATGAATACAAAGTCCATGAATACAAGTCCACAAAGGACGAAACAGTTCTGTCCGCAGATTGAATACAAGTTGGACACATACAGCAAAGACAAACAAAAGAATAACTCATTGGTTTGAGGGAAAGACATAAACGGAAAAAGTTTGAACGGACAAAATTGACTGTCATCACCAGGACTCAAACCAGGAACCCTCGCTTGTATCCAGCGATGCTCTAACCACTGAGCTATCGTGTAGTCGTCATCCCAGCAGAGACCATTCAACATTCTTCAGACTTCGTAACTCACACTTCCTGTGAATCCTCACAGGCAAGAATAATTACGCGTACAATTTGATCGACCAGAATCGAACAACACGTGAAGATACTATTCTGGCAACTTTGAACAGAGCATACGTAAGGCTATAGGAAAACAAGGACTGCACTAGACTGTTTGTATTTGCTGCACACACTCACTACAACTAGACACTGGTATACAAGGTGCGGACTATTTCCACACTCAACAAGTTAGTGTTGGTCCCGATAATGCCGCCGAACCAGCCCATCCGTGTGTGAAAAGCAAGCTGCTGCAACATCAAGTGTACTAGTAGGGAGTTGGACGGCGGAGTAACCTGGTAAACACGTAAACAAGGCCAGTACACAATCACCTCAAAACTAGCACTCATGTTTTTGCTACTTTTAAATTAAACATTTTGTTTTTGTCTTTGTGCCGTGCATTTTCATGGCTAGATATTGCTGTTACACATTTCAGAAGCAATTAATTTTATCAGTGCATTTAGCATCCAAATTGGTGTGGATTGTACAGAAAGACAGAAAGACAGTGCGATTACTCTAAACGCGTGTGCACATGGGTGAATCTAATAGTAGTTTTATGTCGCTGAGTATGGCTGCTGCTATTCTGCTATGAATTTTGATTCAATACGGCTTTTGATTATCACGTCATCGTAGCTGATGCACAACTTTCGGTGTTGATACCCCTTTTAGGTTTTGTTGCTCGTATATTCATTGTTGGAAATCACACTTTGATATCTCAGCCCCTCAAGTTCGTATAATTATTCATTGTTGGAAATCACACTTTAATATCTCAGCCCCTCAAGTTCGTATATTCATTGTTGGAAATCACACTTTGATATCTCAGCCCCTCAAGTTCGTATATTCATTGTTGGAAATCACACTTTGATATCTCAGCCCCTCAAGTATATATACATGACGTATGTGCTACGTCTGCAGCATTGCCTTCTGTTACTTCTGTAAATACTGTACTTCCAAGTAGTTCCTTTGCTCTGATTTGTTCCTCAGCACAACGTTGATTCTTGGAGAGTTGAAGCCGATTTTTTGTTAGAATGACTAGAATCCTATTTCTATTGAAAAGGCGACGAGGAGACAACAACTTTATTAATGCGATTAATAGTATAAGTGAAGCGGACATTACAAAATGATGAATGAGAATACATGTATCTAAAATGGTTGTTCCTAATCGATTTTCTTGAGACTATCATCAGGGAAAATCGTCTCACAATAGAGGCTATACGGAGAAACAAACTACTTATAGGTTATCGGATAGTGGGAAGTATACAAGGTGAGGTGTGAAAAAAAAACTAAAGTGGGAGAGAAGACGAAAGAAATTAGAAGAAAAGATGTGAGAGTGTTCTAACGGTGTGAGCTACTACAAAAGGTGAGTGAAATGAAGGCGTGGAAGCAGGTGAATGTGATAGAGTGAGGAACTGTGAGGTGTAGGTGTATGCGAATGAATACGTGTGTGAATGCTAGGTGAAGAGTCTCAGTTTTGTGACATTTTCTTTCTGAATGCATAGATTAGGATTGTGTTTACGGATGAAAACAGCTTCTAATACCTTAAGTTCACGAAACCTACGAGCACGACACAAAACAGTGAAGCATGAATCATCATACACTGAGCGGCATTGGCTACTAGACAAGAGGTGTTTCTTAATGGCTGACCCTTTCGTTGTGGTCTCACCTTCAGTCCGGTCATCTTCATCTTGGTTGTCCAACTCACTCTCTTCATCACTGCTCTCACCTTCCTCATCCTCCTCCGCTTCCATCCCGTCCTCTGCACCCAACGACAATCCCACGCTACTGCTCGCTGCCAGTCCATGTCCGGTTGTAGATGCTATTACCAGCGCACGAGTCATGCTCCTCGTTACTGGTCTCCGTACCTCTTCATTTCACTCACCTTTTGTAGTAGCTCACACCGTCAGAACACTCTCACATCTTTTCTTCTAATTTCTTTCGTCTTCTCTCCCACTTTAGTTTTTTTTCACACCTCACTGGTGTATCCATATATGTTCTGCCTGTTGTACGCATTGCCCTTTTGCACTCGCGTGTGTACGCATACTAGTAGACACATGCATCACGGTTTTCTGCCTGTCCTTTGCTATGGACAAGAAGTCTTTTCTCTTTGTCTTCTGAAAGATAAGTCACAAACCCTACCTCGTGTGTTTGCGTTTGTTGACACAACATGGCGCAGTGAACATCTTACTTTACCTGTAGTCTTAGTATACTAGTAGTTCCATTGCAGTTGTAGAGTAGCCCACCTGTAGTGTTGCTCTCTGCCCGTTTTCGTTTCGCTTCGAAAATTGTCTGTTTCGAAGTTCTAGAATTTTTTCGTAGCCTTGTAGTACGATATCGATAGTTGTGATTTCGCCATGGCGGATGGTGCTAAGTCACAGCCGGACATCAACCAACTGGTGCAGCTGATCCAAGCTCAAGTGCAAGCATCTGCCCAGGGCGATGCGCAGCTCCAAACTTTGTTGCAGTCAATGTCGCAAGGATCAGCAAGCAGCACGAGTGCACCTGCTTCGTCTGCTCCTGCTCCATCCACCAAGCTCGTCGCTGTGGATCGGCCCATATTGTTGTCGTCGGCGAATCTAGCTGAATTTGTATCGTGGAGCGAGGCCTGGGAGGACTACTCCCGGTGTCAGCTGTTGTCAGCGCAGCCCCGCGAGACAAGGATGGCCGCGTTTAGGCAGGCCTTGGATGAGGACCTGAGACGTTTCGTGCGTGAAGGTGTGATTGTGGTGCCAAACACCCATGATGTCCCGGAGGCCATGGTTGAACTACGCAAGTTCATCCGGCGCCAGCGCAACCCCCTGCTGGACAGGATTGAATTTTACCGCCGTGCCCAGCAACCTGGAGAGACGTTCGACGCGTGGTACACATCCCTGAGGGAGTTGTTTCATGCGTGCAACTTCTCCGGGTTGGATGTCTGTTCGACATGCTCAGGGCGTATGTGTCAAACATGCCAGCAGTCGCTCCAGGCTAACACGGATGAAATTCTGCGAGACCGCATTGTTACCGGCATCCTGCAGGATGACGTTCGACACAAGCTGCTGGCAATGAAGGATCTAACCCTGGCAACCTGCGTCGACCTATGCCGCGCCGAGGAGGCTGCCAGTCAAACCTCGTCACGTATCCCCATTCAGGCCACTGGAGACGCGTCCGTGAGTGCCGTTCGTTCCAGCTATAAGAAGCAGAAAGGAATGGCATCCAAGCAAGCTCGAGCACCCGCAGCCAAGGATTCCAAGTCTGGCAGCAAGCCCTCGCCGGACAAGTGTCCCAACTGTGGCCGCACCGCTCATAGCAAGCGACCCTGCCCTGCTGCGGATCGCAAATGCAACGGCTGCCAACGCACCGGTCACTTCTTATCCATGTGTCCGTCTGCTTCCAAGAGGACTGTTGGTCAGCTGAAGCTGCAACGTGCCGCGTCCTCCCGTGAAGGGGCTACCATAGCCGTCAACACAGCTCGTGTCTGCGGACAAGCCAACCAGTTTGCGCTGGCTTCCTGACACCGGCAGCGACATCAACGCTATTGACCCTGCACACCTCGAGCTCCTCGGAGACTTTATTGAGAATCTGCCTCCCGACAAGGATGTTGTGCGCACCGCTGATGGCGCACCCTTGACCAGTCTTGGCAAGATCCAGGCGACCTTGACGCTCGATTCCGTCACACACGACACCACACTGCACGTGTACAAAGGCCTGGATGAGGCACTGCTATCCCGCCAAAGCCTCTGTGCCTTGAATCTGTTGCCTGCTTCTTGACCCTCCGTGTTTGTCCGTTCTGCCCGTACTGAACCCAACACTGCCCAGCAGCTCCAACAGCAGCTTCTGGAAGAGTTTGCCGATGTTTTCGACAGCTCACAGCTTCCACCAATGGATGGTCCGCCCATGGACATTCAGTTGGACCCAGGTGCAGAACCCAGCTGCGTCCGCACTGCTCGCACCATACCGTTTGCCTACCGGGATCAGATAAAGTCCCAACTGGACAGTATGGTCGATGATCGCATTATCGAGCCAGTCACAGAACCCTCTGCGTGGTGCCATCCAATCGTTCTCGTTGAGAAGAAGGGCACTACTGAGATGCGACTGACTGTGGACCTTCGAAAGCTGAATGATCAGGTACGCAGACCCACCCATCCTGCTCGTACACCACATGACGCAGTGGCAGCCATCGGCAAAGCCCGCTACTTCACGAAGCTCGACGCCCGACATGGCTATTGGCAAGTCCCTCTGTCCGACGATGCCAAGCCGCTCACCACCTTTATCACACCGTGGGGGCGGTACCAGTTTCTTCGCAACCCGCAGGGCCTTGTCTCGGCTGGTGACGTATTCAACTCCCGTACCGACGCAGCGTTTGATCGCCTCACCAACTTCGTAAAAGTGGTTGACGATGGTCTTGTGTACGATACGAAAGTGACGACTCATTTCACCCACGTTCGTGACGCTCTGCTCCGCGCCCGTCAGCACGGCATTACCCCGAGCGCCAAGAAATTCGTCTTCGGCGTCCCAGAAGTCGACTACTGTGGCTACCATATCAACACGGATGGTTACACCGTTGACAGTGACAAGACGGCAGCCATCACTGATTTCCCAGTACCCGTTAATCGCACTGACGTCCGCTCATTCTTCGGGCTAATCAACCAGTGTAGTGATTTCTCGCCCCGTATCGCACAGCTCAGCGACCCGCTTCGCCCGTTGCTGAAGTCCACGAATGTGTTCCTGTGGGAGTCGGCACACACTGACGCGTTTAACGCCGTCAAAGCTGCCCTGGCTTCTCCCCCGATATTGTCGTTCTTTCAGCCTGGCCGACCGCTTCGGTTAGAAACTGATGCGTCCGTGAAGAACGGACTTGGTTATGTTTTGTGGCAGCAGCAGGGCGACACCTGGTGCATACTCCAATGTGGAAGCCGGTTCCTCTCTGATGCTGAGACGAGATACGCCGTCATTGAGCTTGAATGCCTTGCGGTTACCTGGGCAGTACGCAAGTGTTCGATCTATCTCTCCGGTGCTCGGTTCGAAGTTATTACCGACCACCGCCCGCTCATCCCTATTCTGAACTCCTACTACTTGGATCAGATAGAGAATCCCCGGCTACAGCGGCTCGTCCTGAAACTTCGGCCCTATCAGCTACACGCAACCTGGCGGAAAGGCACGGATCATGCTTTCCCTGACGCTCTGTCCCGCCATCCAGTCAGCGACCCCTGCCCTGACGATGAACTGGGTGAGAGTACTGCCTCTCAGGGCGCTGCTATCCGTGCGTGCACGCTTGATACGTCTGGTGGCCTGAAGTACCACGCGCTCCGCTCCGCCGCCCAGGCCGACGCTGACTACCAGTGCCTAGTTCAGTTCATCGTGTCTGGTTTCCCTGCTAAGAGGTCCCTCATGCCTGAGTCACTCCAGCCGTACTGGAATGGTCACGAGCACCTCTCTATTGACAGTGGTTTAGTGATGAAAGGACCCCGTCTCTTGATTCCCGTCGCTCTCCGGCAGCGTGTCTTGTCTGATCTGCACGCATCCCATCAAGGATTGACGCGCACGAAGTCCCGTGCCCGGCAGATTGTATTCTGGCCACGATTGTCAGCCGACATCGAGCATGTTGTCCGCAGTTGTGACAAGTGCCGCCTGCACAGCGCCTCACAATCGAAGGAGCCACTCCGTGTGGACGATCGTGCTCCAGATCTGCCATTCCAGCATTGCAGCGCCAACCTGTTTGAGTGTGAAGGCCTGCAGTATCTGGTGTATGTGGACCGACTAACCAGCTGGCCCTGCGTTGCCAAGCTCGGACGCACTGCCTCCTCTGCAGACGTCATTTGGTCTCTTCGCCGCTGGTTTCCTGACATTGGTGTCCCCGAGGTACTTACCAGTGATGGTGGCCCTCAGTTCCAGTCCCATGTGTTCGCTAAGTTCTGTGATACCTGGCACATCCGTCATGCTAAATCCTCTCCCCATTATCCGCAGTCGAATGGACTTGCCGAGAATGCCGTGAAAGCCATGAAGTCGCTAATTCACAAGACCAATAATAATGGCGACCTCGACGTGGATTCCTTTCAACGTGCGTTGCTTGAGTGGAGGAATACCCCGAACGCCACTGGTCAGAGTCCAGCCCAAGCTCTCTACGGCCGGCCTCTGTCGTCTTTTGTGTTTGCCCACCATTCCAGCTTTGCTCCTGCATGGCAAACACACGCTAATGAAGTTGACCAGCGCTTATCACACTACCTGGAGTCGACTCAGCAGCATTACAACCGCTCTGCTCGGTCCCTTCCTCGTCTGTCTCTTGGAGCACATGTCGACATCCAGCATCCCCGGACCAAGTTGTGGTCAGCTCATGGCTCAATCGTAGCCATTGGTCAGCACCGGGACTACTTGGTGAAACTTCCAAGCGGCCGCATCTATTGGCGCAACCGCCGTTTCCTCCGACCAAGAGTCTCTCCTACACCCCCGCCAGCGGCAGCCGTCCCTACTGTTTATGCTCCAGACGCTGCACAAGGCCAGACACCAGTTGCCTCTATTGCCCCTGGTGTACATGCCCCAGCACAGCCTGCACCACGCCGCAGTCATCGCCATCGGCAGCAGAATGTCCCGTTTAATGTGATATCCACACGCGGACAATCTTATGACTGATGACTTTGTCCTCATTCTGTTTCTGCTCTTCTGCCGGACCTATGCCTGTTGCTGTTACTTATGCACTTCATTGCTGCTGTGTGTTTTGTTTTTGTTTGTTTTGATCAGATAAATATGTCTTTTATCTCAGAAGGGGCGTGGTGTATCCATATATGTTCTGCCTGTTGTACGCATTGCCCTTTTGCACTCGTGTGTGTACGCATACTAGTACACACATGCATCACGGTTTTCTGCCTGTCCTTTGCTATGGACAAGAAGTCTTTTCTCTTTGCCTTCTGAAAGATAAGTCACAAACCCTACCTCGTGTGTTTGCGTTTGTTGACACAACAGCCAATAGCTACTCATGTACATGTATACGTATGCTGGACATGACATCATGTACATGTATACTCATGCTGGACATGACATCATGTACATGTATACTCATGCTGGACATGACATCATGCACATGTATACTCATGCTGGACATGACATCATGTACATGTATACTCATGCTGGACATGACATCATGTACATGTATACGCATGCTGGACATGAAATCATGCAGGTCCAAGCAATGCACACGTGCATGGCCTCTGTTAAAACTATCTGTTATCACCTTGCACATTTGTTTTGCTAGGGCATGCCACACTAGAGAGAAAGTGTGAAATTCCGAGTGATAGTTTTTTTCCCTATACAACATCACTCATGTTCCTGAATCAGCCATTATCTACACACTCCACTGATGAGCTCTGTTCCTGTGTTGGAACGAACCGCTGTCTGCTGGGTCTGAATATCAACATCTCAATGGGATTGTCTTCGCTATGGTTAAAACTTAAAAATAATGAATCGTCCTCGCTATGGTTGTGATGTGAATGGGTCGGCCATCAGCGAATCGGGGAGTGGATGTTTGCCTGATATTTACTGGGCGAGTTTGTGGCTAGATTCTCACCATAGAATTACATTCTAATGTATATGTTTAGATCTGCGCTATGTCTGTGTGCATGTGTGTGCTTGAATTTGTTATTGTATTCCTTTTTGTTAATGCACTTAGATACATGGGGTTGATGGCCAGTGCAAGCAGACGGTTGGCGTCGAGGGAAGAAAGTGTGGAGAGTTCTATGCCCCAGACGCTGTGCATGTAACAGATGATGAACGAGTGATCATTGCTGATACTGGTAACCACCGACTACAGGTATGGTGTTGGTGTTTCGCTACTGTTGTACTTGAACACTCCACATCCTACAACCTGCACAGAGGCAAAAACATCTAGGTTCTGTCTACCCCTGCTCTGTCTACCCTGCCCATTCCACCCCTGCTCGATCCACCCCTGCTCACACATACATGTACATGGCGAACTCTCACGCGCACTTACACACACACACACACACATGCACACACACACACATCAACACACACACACACACATCCTGGTCCTGGTCCTGGTATACACTGCCATGTCGGTCACGTGTTTCTCGTTGAGCGAGACGGAGACGAGAGGAGACATGAGCGTTGGTGACGGGATAAGTCGTTTCGCCTCTTGAAAGGCCTCTTGCAATTCTGACATTGCAATTGGAACTTGTCCCTTTCATCAGTAGTTGGACGCCTGGTGGATCGGTTGCAGTTGTGGATAGCAAAGCCCTGGATCGACTTACAGCAACGTTCACAAATGGAACAGTGAGCGGGACAGCACGGTTTCCGAATACATAGGCGTACAGGTGAAGAGCTTGTGGCATTGGCAACATTCGGGGCAGAACAGGACTGGGTACAGCGATGTTCTGCAATGCCACCCGCACTCCGAAACTATCGGTGACACTGGGAGCACTGGCGGCTGTTGGCTTGCTGCTGGACTGGTTTACACCGTTCCATGATGCACTTGTGGCGGGCAATATCTTACTGCCAAGCAAAGCTTGCTTGCTGTCACTCAGATCGTTCCTGCGCTGTGTCAAACCATGACTCGTCGGCGATGTTTATTTGTCGCAGGTCGACCCTAATTGCGTCTCGCCATCGTTTCCCCGGGCCACACACTGGGCATGGCGGCAGCAATGTGCCAAACAACAACATCCGCGGAACACACACACACACACACACACACACACACACACACACACACACACACACACACACACACACACATACACACACACACACACACACACACACACTATCATGTATTGTAGTTATACTGTTTATGTTGGTAATCCCAATTCAAGTCTTGCTTCGCACACCCACTTCTAGCCACCGTGATCGTGAAATGAGGATACTGGTCATAAGCATTTGACCAAGTTATTGTCTATTTCTAAATCATCTTTTATCTCTGCTGTCTGCCTCCATGCCCTCCTGTGCAGATCACTGACCAAAACTTCTCAGAGTTCAGCACTATAGGAATACGTGGAATAGAAATTGGCGAGTTCCATGAGCCAATTGGTGTTGTCCTAGTCAACCACAGTGTACTGGGCCCGTGCTTTGCTGTGGCAGATAACTACAATCATCGGATTCAGGTCAGAAACGTAACCATACAGTACACACTGTACATGTACAGTTGTATTGTGTAAAATCCCTCTCCTACCCACTAACAGTGTACTGTGATATACATAAAGATAGAACTAGCCTATATCACTGTTCAGCATCAAGTTGTGGGACTGTTTTCAATCATGTAACAGAAGATCAAGCATATGGTGATCTCATTAGGCACAGATACATAGCTGAGCGAGGGAAACTAATCTCACACCAAAGGGGTGACTGCAAGCATAGGGCTTCTTCAAGGACGGACCAACGGTCACTTTTCGGGATCATGTGCGAGAACATTTTTGAATCGCTGGTGAACAGGCGAAGCCCAGGTCACATTCAGTTTGTACGAGAATGGACGCGTGGAGGTGAAAGAAGCAATAGGATGGCGCTCAACTTCATGTCCAACACTCGTGTTGACTCAGAGCAGCTTCCGGGAAGACCTTTCATGGCTTGGGCGAAAATGAACAAGCTTCAAAATCGCTCCAAGCTCTGGTTGAGACAACCCTGTCACATTTCGTATACTTTTCAATGCGCGACCTGTTCACCACAATCTCGGGGTGAGTGCCACTTACGGGCACGGCGTGGTGTCCTTGAAAAAGCACTATACTCCTTTTGACCGGTGGTTCAAGAGTTGCGGAGATTCGCCCTCAATTTATCTTTCCTGCCTCTGGATCCAGATCATTATGCATTGCCTGACCTACCTGACCCTTCTTTCTGTGAGTCAATGCAATAGGAGCGCTTTATGTGTGTGTGTGTGTGTGTGTGTGTGTGTATGTGGTGTGTGTGTATGTATGTGTGAGTGGTGTGTGTGTGTATGTGTGTGTGTGTGCGTGCGTGCGAGCACACGTGTGTGTGTGCGTAAATATATATGTAGGACTCAGTATAGAGTCCATGCACTATATGATGTCCAGCACCCTATATAGAGTCCATTGGTCCAAAATCCACTATACAGAGTCCAGGAGTCCACTCAGTTTTGATCAGCTTCATCCTGCCGCGCAATCCCCTATAAGGAGTACACTTTTTCTACAAGTCCCCTATTCACAGTCCAGGAGTCCAGTTTATCCAGTCACGCCGTCCTGTGTGTTGTGCCCGAAAAAGAACAAACACATTTTCAGTTCTGCTTGCCTCGTGGCAGCGCATTCCTTTCTTCACTTCAGCCATGGCTGCCAGTTCTGCTGTGCAGTTGCTGACAGTAATCTGTCTCGAGGTAACCAAGGAGGATAAGGAGACGTTCAAAATCAACAATGATCTGGAAAGCGTCTTGTGGTTCTCTGAAGACGTTTCATCAGTGCGCGGGATGAAAGCAGAAATTGCAGAACGAGAAAAAGTTCAGCACAGTTCAAATCTGACGAGTCAGGTACACTGACACTCTCTTTCGTTCGACGCCACAAGGATCCCCTGTTTGGCTGGCCATTGCTGCCAGTAAGACGTTTGAACGGTTTCATCAGAGCGAGGGATGAAAGCAGAAAGCGGAGAAAGAGAAAGGTTCAGCACAGTTCCAATCTGCCGAGTCAGATACACTGACACTCTCGTTCGTTCGACGCCACAAGGATACCCCTGTTTGACTGGACAAGAGCTGCCTGTACCACCGTGTCAAAAGGCTTTCCAACTACATGGCAGGACGATGACTGAGGTAAGGAAGCTTTTACTCGTTTCGATTGGTCTGCTGTTCTGTCGTTATGCTTGACTTTGTTTCCATTTTCAAGGAGCGTATCGTGTTTGTTTGATGTTGCTTGAATGAATGCCCTAAAAGTAATCAACCACTTCGTAATAGTCCTCAAGGACTGCACGGACTTTGCATCAATCGTATACGATCGTCTAGCTATCATCAATTATTATAATTATTTCATGAGAAATGTATTTTTATCCCTGTGATAATTATGTGAAACTCCACGACACTCTTCCTCTACAAATTATAGTATGATGTCAAATACAATGGGATCCACAAACGCAGTGCCAGTGTACTAGTAGTAGTAGGAGGATTGCTTGTATGCCAATGACAAGAAAACGCTTCTCAAGCTAATACTCGTATTCCCTGAAATAACCGTTTTGATGTCACGAACATGACATTGTGTCAGTGAAACTGCCTCGTGACAACAAATCATTGCATTTCCATCTTGGGGAAGACTAACTGACGGCAACGCTGTACAGATTGTTCAAATCATCTCATTTCAATTTACTTCGAAGTAGTTGCAGTGAAACACTGTGTACACTACTTGTATGGTGGTGTGTCCGTGCGTCTTGAGTGTGCACAAACAATCTTATTCCTCGTATTCAAATAAATAGATTATTGTCCCCACCGTCACCTGTTCACAGGTCTTTGAGTGGATTGATTTTCATTGAGCATCACATTCGTTGAGAACTTGGTAGTTGTGTGCTCCCATGCATCATTACGTTAATAAGCGTATCCTTGTGCCATCTATTTGTTGCAGGTGTGCTGATCTTCAGAAGCTTGCGGAACTGAGTGCTGCTGAACATTTGCATGGCCATGAGCAATGGTGAAGCTTGCTATTGCACTCTCAGCATGTGCTAGTATTATGCTGACCACTGCACTATGTTACTCTCTTACACTACTACGTGTATGTAAACGTGCGTGTACCCGTCCCCGTACGCATTCGTTTCGTATAATTATTTGTTATCCCTCTTGACTTTACATGTAAATGGGTGGACGTTTGCATGGCTGTTGGAGTTGCGTGTGTATTGTGTCTCTACTCTTTTCTTGGTGTTTTCTTGGCATTGTATAAGTTTGTGTGTGTGTGTGTGTGTGTGTGTGTGTGTGCGTGCGCGCACGCGCGCGCGCAATAGTTTTAAAACAAATAATTAATCCTGGGCTCTCCATTATTCTCTTTCGATTCTTGTTTTTTTTCTAGGTATTTTCTTGGCGTTGTGTGGGTGTGTGCATGTGGGTGTGTGGGTGCACAATAATTTGGCAACACTGCATGATTGAGATATTGTAATTTGCAGCGTCTGCGAAGAGACCACTTGATTTGAGGATGGTGTTTGTAGGGTTTTTCATGTAGTGAAGTGGCTGCAGTGGCGCCTCAATACATATTTTTTTATCTTGAGAAGTGAATGATGTGAAAGGGAGAGGCCGTTTTCTGGTTAATATTCACTGCTTACAGCAGATCCTATGTCTAATTTCGAACTCGATAGGGGGTACCTAATTGGCTGGACTTTATACAGGGAGTGTTGTCCACATAAAGACTCTTTAATCTTTATAGGTGATTTCAAAATTTGGACTCCGTACAGTTGATTTTGGACCAATGGACTCTATATAGGGGTGAAGCCAATTGGCTGGACTCTATACAGGGAGTGATGTCCATCTAAACTGAGCTCACAGTTGATTCCAATTTTGGACTCTGTACAGTGGATTTTGGACCAATGGACTCTATATAGGGGTTGGACATCATATAGGGGCTGGACGCTCTACTGAGTCCAACATATACATGCTCGCACGCATTTACAACTCACTGCATCCATTCTAGAACTACGATAGATCGACACTTGAACAGAGTGCACATATCCGCATGCGTCATAGCGCCTGTACAACCATAGATCGACACATTAACGTACTTAAACGTACACTTCCTTGAAATGAATATTCCATTGGGGAACACATTCCTTCTATCGTGTTTTCAAACGAATATCAGTCGAATACTTGAATAATCCTTGCAACCCTAATTACGAATCTCACAGATAATTATCTTCTATGTACACTGGTACTGTACAGGTTGTGCCATGCAGTGGTGAGACAGGATATGCATTTGGAACAGAAGGTAGTGGTCACGGCCAATTTCAATATCCAAGCGGCATCACAGTGTACCACAACAGGTTGTTAATTGCAGACGAGAACAACCATTGTATACAGGTATGTTATCATGTTCAGCTGGCACCCACATCAACAACGATACCAAAGACGACGACAATCGCAACGACGACGACGACAACAACAACAACAACAACAACAACAACAACAACAACAACAACAACAACAACAACAACCAAAACAGAAGCAGCAGCAACTTCATTTTCCTATCGTTGTGTCAGGAATTATTCTAAAGTCGGTGGATGCTCCGAATGGTTGGAAATGGCATTTGCAGCTAATTGACGACACGGGTCTGACTCATGGCTGTAGTCTGAAACACATGAGCAACACGTCAAACTTCGCACACACAAATCTGCAAGAAAAACACCACTCTCTGCTCAATATGCATTGCTCCGCTAAATTCACCCTGTTTCAGTTGAGCTTCAGAAGGATTCTGGAATCTGACGGGATGTGTTAATTGGGTGGATGCATGCAAACTTGACTTGTTCTAGAAATTATAGACGTACTTTGGGAATTCTTCCGTTTCTGAGACTTTACTGTTATTGACAATCCATCTACCAGGCTAAACACTAGACAGGTTCGGGCAAGAAAACATTCATTCAATCAGGAATGTATGTGTACGTCATGCAAATGCTTGTTGGCCATGTTTGCCTGTTACTTGTCCTTTTCAGTGGAAGAGTGTATAGGCTGATGTGAAGTTAGACTCTTAAACATCATGTCTATACATCATGTCACAAACCAAACAGTGTCTGTGCTACAATAAATACATACATAGTAATCAAATGTTGGTGCCAGGTCCATGTTTTACCTCAGGTTTTGAGTTTTTACAGTTGCACACCAGTAACCTTATCATCATTACAGTCATAATGATAGTAGCTATGCACTGTGTGTTGGAGTATTATTATTACACTCCTGTTATATCTATACTCTTTCTGTCACCACAGTGGTGTGTGTGAATGTTCAATTCTTTTATTCCTGCAAAAGGTGATGACCGTCGATGGAGAGTATATCACTTCGTTCGGGTCTCAGGGCAGCGCTTTTGGGCAGCTGTGCCAACAGCATGATGTCACTACAGATGCCTACGGCAATGTTCTAGTCGTAGATCATGGCAATGGACGTGTTATGGTAAGGGAGAGCTTGTTGTCGTATTCTTCATTCTAAATACCTACAGGCAGAGAGTAGTACCCAGTACATATACAACAGTGGAGCATGGTCAGTTTGTTGCTAGTCTGTGATTCATGGTCAGTACAATCATCAGACAACACTGATATGAACACAGAAAGTGATGTACACTGCATGCACAGAGTACAAGACAGTAAAGCAAGAGTACATTAGCTCTTACAGAATGTTGCTTTGCGTTCTTGAATTGTGGTTTGACCGTGTTGTCCAATGGTCTTTCCAGTATCGTCATCGACATGCATGAACATCCGCCAATAATGCATCATCCATACATCTGTACCTCTAGAAACTTTTGGAGACATTTAGGAAATATCGCGGAAAAAGTTGCGAGGTAAAATGCCACAAATTGCGTCCGATTTTGTTACTTGTAGTGTAGTGAGGTAGGATTGTGCTGCGCTGTACTCGATTACGACTGGGTTCAAGTGATGACTGGAGCTTGCAAGACAGTTTTCCTCCATTCTCCGACAACACTCGATGCGAGCCTTTTTTTTTTTTTTTAACTTTTCAGCCGCTGATTTTCCCAGAAACTTCTCCATTCTGGTATCGATCTCACAAGTAAACTACTGACGAGCTTGAAGAACTAAACAACATCGAAGAAAGACTCGAATATTGTGGGTGCTTTTCGAAATATCGCGGTGCTTTTCAAGTACGAAGGACAGTTTTCTACAATAATGCGGATTCTTTTTTCAAATATCGTGGATATCGCGGAATTTTGTTCAAATCGCGGAAAACAACGCGGTCACGGAACCGCAAGTTCCTGAAGGGACAGATACATCAACAATAATACATCATTCATACATCATCCATACATCACCATTGTAGTATCCCTGCCCGACAAATACGGAAGTAGTACGGAACTAATACGGAGCTTTGGCTGATGTGTATTTAGTGTATCTCCGTATGTAAGCGTACGGCGTCTGCTGCATAAAAGCGGCTGCGCATTTCTGTTTTGATGAAGAGGAGATTTTGATAATAACGAGCTATTCAACCTCCAGGTGTGCAGGGGAGAGAAAGTCAGTTATTTTGCCGTTTCTTCTTTCACTAATAATTATATCTCAGGTGTGTACCTGAAAGAAGTAGAATAAAAGTAATTCGTGTTAATTTCACCGCGCCTACCACTCGGCTACCATTACATTGGTGGCAGCGGTGTGTTTTTGTAAAATAAAACAACGTGATTCGACCCCAGACCCCCATGGCTCAACCCGCTGCAGCTCCGTGCGACGAATCAAGATGAGAATCGTGTTTCATGCTTTCCTGGGCCTGGCCATGCTTATTAGCCTGCAGCACAGTCAGGGTGCTAACGTGGATCACCATTCTTTCCGCACGGCATCCATTGGAGACTCCGATGGCGATTCCAAGCAACCCGCTACCTACATGTATACTACCGGTGGTGATGGCGAAGCTGATGAGGACGACGACATGCAGGCTGCTGACCAAGACAAGGAGGGTATTCCCCAAGACCAGCAGCGTTTGATTTTTGCCGGCGCGTAGTTGGCAGACGGCCGAACCCTGAGTGACTACAACGTTCAGCAGGAGTCCACTATTCACTTGGTACTTCGTCTCCGTGGTGGAATGCAGAATTTCGTCAACACTCTTCCTGGCTAGACCATCACTCTTTACGTTGCGCCAAGCGATGCTATCGACAATGTGAAGACCATGATTCAAGACGAGGAGGGAGTGATCTGTCTGACGCCGAGCTAGCCGCTCTGAGTGACCGGCCCAACCAAGATAAAGATAAAACCTGGCTCGCCCTCCGCCAATACTGGCCATAGCTCCAGCCGCCGCCGTGGTTACTAACGCTGATTCCAGGTATGGCATTTTCTTTCCTGTCTTCCTTCAGTCTCCCATTTCTCCTCAGTCTTCCTTTATGCGAGTGTGTGAATCCAGTTTAGTTTGGTAGGCGTCTGATCATGGTGAGCCACGGCTTACCCAGCTAACGTGGGACAATGTGTGTGACAACACCCCTTATAGTTATAGTGTATTCAGTTCGGTTTTGAACTCCGATGTTCCTGGCGGGTTGTGCCAGCGTTGTGCAGCAAGAGTGCTGTGGATTTTCAGGTCCTATTTGGAGGACAGTTCTTTCCCCTTTTGACCCCGTGAGATCGTGTGAACCTGGTGTACTTTTACTTCTATGTTATGATTTGGTATCAGTTCATTTCTTCTGTCTACTCTAAACGTTATCATTTCCGATATAATTTGCCATCTTCCGGTTGACGCTGTGTTCGTAACTCTTCACTAATTTTTTTTTGAAAATCACGAGGGCGTGATTATCTGTAGGAAGGGAGGGTGTAGTATCCCTGCCCGACAAATACGGAAGTAGTACGGAACTAATACGGAGCTTTGGCTGATGTGTATTTAGTGTATCTCCGTATGTAAGCGTACGGCGTCTGCTGCATAAAAGCGGCTGCGCATTTCTGTTTTGATGAAGAGGAGATTTTGATAATAACGAGCTATTCAACCTCCAGGTGTGCAGCGGAGAGAAAGTCAGTTATTTTGCCGTTTCTTCTTTCACTAATAATTATATCTCAGGTGTGTACCTGAAAGAAGTAGAATAAAAGTAATTCGTGTTAATTTCACCGCGCCTACCACTCGGCTACCCATTACACCATTAGGGTCCAGCGGATTATGCCGCCAGAAAAATTGGCAGAATTCGGTACTTTTCTGGTAAGTTTCATGCATGTTTGTATGTGGATAAAGAAATAGAGCTAAATTCGAGGAATTGCCCGCCATAAGGTTTGTATGGTTCTGCCAATTTTACTGCTTTTCGAGCAGAATCTGCCACCTTTTCGAGCATAACCCGCCAGTCCCTAATCACCATGCATCAACCATCTATAAAACGTGTTATTCATGTACGCTCACCAGTGTTGTCCATGTTCTCTGCAGGTATATGCCACAGAAACTTACACACCACTGGCTGAGTTTGGAAAAGGAGAGCTGGACAAGCCGATGGGTGTCTGCGTGACAAGTGAGGGCTTAGTAGCTGTTTCCTGTGATGGAAGCCACAAGATTTTTGTGTTTTAAAGGTTTCTTGTTAGACTTCCAGCACCCTCTGTCACCATGTTACTTCTAGGCAACATATCTGTACAGTCATACATTAACACACACACACACACATACACACACACACACACACCTCAGACCTCAGACCTCAGACATGCCCATCGCGGAAGCGATGATAGCGAACAGCTATGTTAGACATAGCAACTTGTGCTGGGATTACACCATTCAACAGCTTGCAAGGCTGATGAATTGACCGCCACTATTTTTAACACACACACACACACACACACACACACACATACATACACACACACACACGCACACACAAACGCACGCATACACACACAAACGAGCACATACACACACATACACACACACACACCATTGACCATCCATTTGACGCCCATGGCCAGAGGTGATGATAGCGATGCTACAGCAGAAGCCATAGCCACTTGTGCTGGGATTGCACCATTCAAAAACTTCAAGCAAGGCTAAAGAATTGACCGCCACTATTCAGCCTGGTCTACACCACACAGCTATGAAGTGGCTTTTTCTGGCCAGTGAATCCCCCCCCCCACACACACGCGCACACACACACACACATGCACACACACACACACACTCGCACCATGCACACACACACGCATACACACACACCTCCGTTCCTACCTCCCCCCCCCCAATTCCTTACCCACACACCCATCTTTCAATCAGTTCTTCATCGATTTTCTCTTACAAAACTTTCCACTCAAATGTGGCCTTTGCCTCCATTCATTTCCCACCATGCTGGCTGTTTTTGCCTGTCAGCATTCTCCGAGTCACATGAACTGAGTATTCAGTCCTGTACTGTTTTTGAAATTATTTTCTTAAATAAACAAACCAGTTTGATAGCACCACCAGTATTTCTTAGGTAGCTCCTGGATTCTTGATCCTTGTTCTTCCCGACTCGCAGCACCTAGAATAATGTTCCCAGTTGTTAGAAAACTGTGTGTGTCCTCGGTGGTATACCGTTTTGCATTGCGACTAGTTTGAAAGAGTTCTGATTTATTGACTTATATATTTACTATTGTGGATTGCTTTCTTCCAGATCAATTATCCTGCTTCGAAGTATTATAATTGCTAGTCAACATTGCCTTGACTTGTGCACAAAGAGCTCATCCTTTTCCTTCTTCTGATTCTGTCGACTCTTAGATAGGCATGGGCGGATAATGCTAGTTATTTCCTGCGATTATGCTAAAGGTAATGCTCATAATTATGAGGATATAATGACACTTATAATGCTCACACTACTCCATAATGCCAGTTTGAAAGTTGGAAAAGTCGATTTAAGAAGGCTGTCTTGGATCAAGGCCAAAGCGTAGAAGAAATAACTTAAACAACAGTGTGCATGTTGTCTGAAACAATCCACTGAGAAAGTTGATTTGCAACGTCAAGTCTCCCGACGAAGCCGGATGGGTTCAGATGCACGATTTTCGGAACTGGACCAAGCCAGCATCATGCATGACACCGTTGTCGACCGGCAATTGTGCTTGTAATTCCAATTTTGCATGCGAAATGGTGTTTTAATGCCAGCATTATGCCAACTGGAAAAAAGGAACTATAATGCCAGCCATAATGCTAGCATTACCCACCCATGCCTACTCTTAGTGCCACGTACACATACATGGATGAGGCTTTGACGGCCGGCCATAGGGTGGTGTGTGTATGTGTGTGTGCGTGTGAGAGTGTGTACGTGGTGGATGTGTCTGCGTGTACCGTGTTTTTGTGTGCGTGTGTGTGTGTGTGTGTTTGTGTGTGTGTGTGAGTGTGTGTGTGTGTGTGTGTGTGTGTGTGTTTGTCACTCCGCGCCAGCTCCTGTTTGGTACGCTCCTTCCGCCGAGGCCGGCTTGCGGTCCTCGGAAACGGTGGCGAGACTCTGTCAGAGCTGACCTCTCCGCAGTGAACATCGACCACACGGAATGGTACGACCTCGCCCATTAGCGTGGAAAATGGCGCAGTGCGTATACCGCTCAACCAGTACCGCGATCGGCTCAGCGTGACACTTCTGTGCTCTGCGATGTCTGCCAGCACGTACACGTAGATATACGGCACAACTCTTGCAGTCGGGTCAGAGCCGGGTCTGGTCAAGTGCAGTTACTGCATGTAGATCTACATAGATCTGCGTATAGATCACATGTACATGTATATTCATGTTGGTCTCTAGCTAGCACTAGTAGCAGGATTGTCTCTTGTCCACGCACTGTC